CCCCACTCTGGCCATATAAGCTTCCCAGCCCTCCTTCTGGTACTGCCGTGCCGCCTCAACCGGGTTGGGAGCAGCATAGATGCCTCGACCGGCGATGATAAAGTCAGCGCCTCGTCCAATGGCCGATGCAGGAGTCTGATATTGCTGTCCAAGCTTATCTCCCTTCGAAGAGAGGTTCACACCCGTCGTGAAGACCACGAAATCTTCATCCTCCGAAGCCGAAGACACATCAGACTGCACCTCCGTCAGGGCCCGCGTCGACACGAAGCCCATAACGAAGTTCTTGTATTTGCGAGCGTAATCAACCGACGCCTTGGTATATTCGCCTGTCGCCAGCGATCCCTTGGAGGTCATCTCTGCCAGGATCAGGAGTCCTCTCTCAGGACCGTAGGGGAAGTCTTGCGCGGATGCGGTCTGCGCCAGAGCCTCGACGATGCCCTCGCCGGGGAGAACGCTGCAGTTGATAATGTGGGCCCATTCGGAGATCCTCAGAGCACCACCGTGGTATTGCTTCTGGACGGTGTTGCCGATATCGATGAATTTGCGGTCCTCGAAGATCAAAAAGTTGTGCTTCTCAGCCAGCACAATCAGGCCATTGATAGTGTCGACGCTGAAATCGGTGAGGATATCGATGTGTGTCTTGATGACGGCGATGTAGGGACCGAGACCTGTATCCTCAAAAGTTGATTAGTCCATTGCTCGACACAATGTGTAATGGAGCCAACGCTTCCGTACGATCGGCGAGGTCCAGGAGTTCTCTGGTAGTCGTCACATCAGCAGAGACGGTGACATTTGTCTTCTTCGCTTCGGCAATCTCAAAGAGTCTCTTCGCCAAAGGATTGGGGTGCTTGCTGGCTCGAGCAGCATAAGTCAATTGCGACTTGGAAGACATGGTGGGGGTATATGCGGGGTATGACGGTGATTGATGAGCTGACGAAGCTGAGCAATGTGGTATATTTATCCAATTGAGGTTAACACAGCCCAATCAATAACTCGAGAATCAAATCTCAATTGTTCTCAAACGGAAGTCGCTAAGGGACTATATTTAGAGTCAGTACTCTATCTAGATCTTTTCCCACGTAAAAATTGCGTATCAATCTGGAGGCCGCCACGCACAGGCCACGTCGGTGCTGTATTCCTCCGTCTCCGACTGTGGGGGTCAGCCACAGCTAAGCTACTCTGTACAGCTAGAAGATTGGGGTAGAACCGTAGCTAACACGTCGTTCAATTACTGGTACGTATTGTCCCTATGGAAGTTTAGCGTACATATATATAAAACATATTTTTGTGAGACGCAGAATGACACTCAAATTCAGAAAGAGATCATATCCTTCGCAACACCAAACACACTCAGAGCCCACAGAGCGCCTTGAGCGAGCCAGAAGCCTGATCCCAGCATCCTTCCCTTGCCTTGTGGCTTACCCGAGTACACATAGCCGTACAAGTAGAGAGTTCGGAAAAACAGCCACAAAGCGCCAATTGCTGTTGCCAGGTGGGGGTATTTCAGACCCGCGAAGAGGGTGAAGAGCATTGTTTGAGGCGCATTCTCGAGGTAGTTAGCGTGGGCTCGCTGGGCGCAGTTAAATTGCTCGGCTTTGGCCTGTGTCATGGATTCAGCATTCATAATCTTTACTTAGCGGCGTAAACAAACAAGTTCAAGGTATGCGCACATTTGACTTGCATTGCTCAACGCTCGCATAGTTGTGAGGATAGGGGACCTTGGCGTCCCTCCGAAAACCGGTCACGATAACTCCATGAATGAAGCTAAGCACTGGAATAGCTCCCAGGGCGACGGCGACGACGGCACTGGCCTTTCAGTGAGCTTCATACTATCGGTTGTTTGTGATTGCGACACAGGGGAGGACATACCCGTAGTTTTCTGGCACAATGATAGCAACCATTTCGACAGAGATGGATGGTAGGATAATTTGCTATAACTTGAACAAAAATACTACTGTAGCTATGATTGAGCAGCTTAAATAATAGAGAAACCAAAATCTGTCCCCGTCGTAGCTTTTATATTGTTCGGGCCTGACGTCAGGTCCCCGGAACACGGGGTAACTGTTGGTCCATCCGGAGCATCAACGTAGCCGAATGGCCGCATCCGCCCTGGCAGCCTAGCCGGGGGCCTTTTTTATCCGTTTCAATATGCAAGCAAACCAAGGGTTCCGAACGCTGCCTCAAGATTGCGGTTTTCTTCTGACTCACTATCTGGATCGACCATCTGGAAAGAACCGAGCAACTGGCGACTTTTACATCTCAGATATATGACATAGTGGTGGCTCCAAATCTAAACGCGCATCTTGCTGACACTTCCGTACTTCGCCTGCCATGCGAAGAAATACAAGAGCGCACCCAGCGGTTGGCCAACGAGGCAGAAGCTTACCCAGAAGATCGAGTTCCCTACGATCTTGCCCAAGGCGTCATTCACCTTTTCAAAGGGAGCCGTCACAGCAATCAATGGTAGCTGGAACATCATCCCCGCAAATGCAACACCTATATGTCCGTCAGTGATCCCATCTTTATCCTTTGCGAACAGGGTCAAGTTCTTACCGATCAAATTATGGGTGGGAATCCCCACCAACATCTCATGCAGGATTGCAGAGAGGGTAAATACCATGAAGCTCGCCGCAAGAGGGCTCCAGCCTCTTCCTACCAGCGGCGAGAAGACATGCCTCTTCATGAAGAGGTACACCGGCCGGTTCCATGACCGCCAGTATGCGCCGAGACTCGGGCTGTTCCACCAATCTGTGTAGAACTCACGATCTCCGAACCGCATGACCTCCGCCAAAGCATTCAGCAGCGACTGGAAGAGCGCAAAGAATCCGGCGAGCCAAATGACAAGAGAAATTGTGGACAGTTTCATGACGCGCTCCAGGATTGACGCAATATCCATCACAGCGATCTTGTCAATGGAATTTCGCAAGACCGGAGCTGCATACTGGGCGGAGAGGAGCCATATGAAAACAGCTAAACCAAAAAATTCGGTAAGCCGTTTGGCAACAAAAGACCACCGAATATGCGACGATCGAGGATAAACAGGTTGATATACAAGTGTAGGTGCTAGCCAAAAATATGTAAGATTGCCAAGCGTGATATTCCTTGGATATGGGCATGTGGAATAGATCTCTGGGAGAGCGGACTCCGCAGAGGGGTTGAGCATTGCCTGCCGTAGATCGCGATTCGTAAATGCATAGGAGCAGTTTTTGAGCCACACAATGATTGCGTGCAGTTCACAAAGTGTACCGATTCCGGGATGATTGATGTAGAAATAAACAACGAAGCTGGTCACAGCGAGACATAGGGTAGCATTCACGGTATGGAAGAAGGCCATATACCGCCAGGTTGAGCGGAAGGCCTGCTGTTCGCGCTCCCTCTCCTCCGCCGATAGATCCTTTTTCTGTCGACCGACAGTCTGCTTGGACTGCTCAGCTGCAGCCAATTCAATGATATACGCAAGAAAGAGGTGGCATGGAACAAGGGCAAAGAGGATCGACCCAAGAACGACATCCTGCTTCCGATAGTCATGGCATTTGATACAGATAAGGACACCATACTGCAAGAAGATATTTGTTAGAATAACAGAGTACGCTGCTTTCAGAGTATATCATATAAGCTTACTTTCATGAAATTCTCAATTATCAGGCGAAGATTCATCGCCACTAAACACGCGGAGCTATGTTAGCACCAAGCATGTGAAAAGGTGCCGCGGGCGGAACACCTACCTAACACAATCACCATGAGATTCCGGAATCCAAGAAAGCTTGGGACCACACTGGTCTCTCGACTGAGGCTCGAATGCCGCAGCTGCGAATGATAAGCTGCGACATGGCGATATTTGCTCCTCCTTTTCCCTTTGGTGGCCCCGGTAGAGCCGTTGCCATGTCCTGCGGAACCATTGCGGGTAGCTCCATTGACGAGCTTCGACGGAGTCGACCCTTCAGAGCTCGTGCTGACAGCACTGGCCGACGAAGATACAGTTTCGGAAGAACTCATCTTCGTGGAGTGTCGCAGAAACCCCAGCAGCGTGAGTGACGAAATGAAAATCTCCGAGGAAAACGAGCGACTGGATGGAGAGCTCTAGTTGATTCGCAATTCAATTGCGGGAGATACCTCGGAACACTAAAGCGATAGACCAGCAATTGAGCCTCGCTCTGCTCTACCATGACAAGAAAGATGAATCTGGATTATGATACCAAGTAAGGACGTAGGTGAGATAAAAGGATTTCAAGAGCACCATGGTGGGGTTTCTTGGTTACGCATTTCGTAGCAATGTCTGAGCAAAGGCCTCTCGAGGGCGACCGGGGTATGAAAGTCTAAGGTACCTCTCGACCGCCGAGAGCCGTTATTAATCAAGTCACCTTGCGGGCTTCCGTCACGCTCTCATGCGCTTGACCCACGCACCAATGCACCACCACTGCGCCAAATGCATGCCTAGACGCCGTTGGCATCGTCTCCGACAGCACAAGGTTTTTGATTCGATTCATTATCGCTCAGTTACTGGCTGCTCCTGTTTGCTTGCTGCACTAATAGCAGAGTTTCTAGGTCATTCCTTTCTTATCTCTCGCCTGATTGGAATGTGGCGCCCTGCTATCTCAAACGGACAGGAAAACAGCATCAGCACGTTGAGTGCATCAATGAATTAACAATCAGGTTTGACAGGTACCGAATTTTGAGATTATCAAACTGACGCACAAACATCGCCTACAGAAGACCAATACTCAATCTTTTAGGATAATATTTACTTTCTACATAAATGTATGCTATCGAGTATTTACGGAATCAATCAGTTGGAGTGAATCGACTCCATGAGCGAATCTTCGCTCCATAGATATAGAACGAGACAGGCACCGGAAAATAATCGCTGTCAAGCAGCTCAGAAGTGTGATGGCCCACTCGACTCCAAGCAGAAGCACACAAACAGGGGTGTCTTGCGCCCATACAACTCGGATAGAGGTCTGAAAACCATCGGCTCAAAATCGAAGCGTAGGACGAAGAGACTAGTCCGTAGGACCATAACTTCCTCGGAAACATGAAAGTTTTCTGGCCGTGACCCAGGTAGCAGTGCTGAAGACAGACGATGCAAAAGTCACTGGAAGGGTCATCAATCCAAGCATCATGAGTGAAGGTCCGTTTGCGAGCGGGCGAGAAATGGACTGCATTGTCCTAGAATAATTGATATAATCTGTAGCGCCATGATAAGTAGCATAGTAGCAGTATACTGGGTCTTTCGGGCCGTCCCTTTGCACCAGCGTCCAGTCTTTGCCCTTCTCCTGGAACTGCTGAGCTTCGATATCGTCGTTCACTGTCGAATTACTCGAACTGGCATTACTCAGGGGCGAGGCGGGCTCTGCTTGCGTACTTCTTTCCATTGCAGTGCCGCTAATAGCGCAGAAGAGCATTTTGCTGCAGATTTCCCTGGTTAGTTTATACATAAATTCACATAGAGTCAACGTTTGGGGTGGGCATTTTGCAGAGGGAAGACGCCATGCCTTGCTCAATCAACTAGGTGACAAGAATTGAGCAAGAATCATGGGGTGATAATCTCCATGATAGTCAAAATCTGACCGAGGTTCTCATAAATTGAACCATTGACGGCCTGGTTCATCCATGCTTTGAGCGAGATAGCTCGGCACCTTGAAACCGAATGGATTGCGGCGGATCCGTATACCAGGAACTGTACAAGTTTGTACAACCCCATGTTTGAACGAACCTATATCGGAAGCAAGAGTCGCAAGACCAGATGAGAAGCCATGTCTAGCTGCGCGAAGAAGGAGACAAGGACTACCTTGCTGGGGTAGTTATGGGTCGTGCTGTATAGTCCCTTTCGGATGAGGAAAGAAACCTCTAGGAAAGTCATAACAGCATTGGGACGGCAAGAATACTAGATGTCCTTGAGAAGCTGGGGTGAAAGCGCACGAGAGCAACAATAAGCTTGTACCGTATATGGAGAATTTGTGGTGCTTCATATTATGGTCTCGATACTGGCTGCTTAATAGTCCCGGAGGTTTGAAGGTTGTGATTTAGGCCCGCACACAATGCGGATCGTAGTGTCTGGAAATTTACATTCCATAGAGAAATCTTATGTTTCGCAAAGTCGCATTCAAACGACTTCTAAGAATGTTTGATGGACGCCGTTTGAATGCCAAGCATCAATCCTAATTGGAGATCATCTGAACCCCGAGTGGGGAGACTTTGGCGGACGGAGGTTCGACCGCCCCCGTGATACCTAACTTTTGATTCTCAGCCATAGCGACAAAACACAATAATATTGATAATTAGGCTAGAGCTCACCATTGCAGGCTGTTTATACGTTCTCGCTCGAAGCAGCTCGTCCGCGGTACGCATCAAAGCTTGTCAATTGTTTCAGGCCAATTTTTAGCTTCCCTGTTATGATTGCAGGCCTGCCGCGAGCAATCCATCTCCAAACGAAGTCGCGCAGCAATGGCTTTTTATGATGATCCGTCGGGCGACTCCCAGCCTTACGGGAGGAAACCATACGAGGGTGGGATTGTAGGACCCCGACGTCCGAGTAGGTTCTCTGAAGAACTCCACAACTTCATCGTCGCGACACTAATCCTTAATTCAAAGGACTGGTTACTGATTACGGCTCATCTCTCGTACAATGGATGCGCACACGACAACCACGATACAAAGGAGGTCATCGGATGGAGACAGAGAGACCGAGCGCAAGCTATGTAGTCGATGTGAGTTATCAAGCTGTGTCTACGGATGTCCGCGCCGCGCCCAGGTGAACGATGTCGACTAATCGGCCGCTCTTTTTTCAGATGCTTCCTCCGTTGGCGCGAATCCATTCGCCCGCAGATACGATACCCGTACGACATCTACACCAGTCGATTGGTAAATCGAAGAAACCGATTACAGTTGTGAGATGGACGCCAGAAGGGAGACGCTTGTTGACAGGTGGACATACTGGCGAGTTTATGCTATGGAACGGAACGGCTTTCAACTTTGAGACCGTTATGGACGTGCGTTAGCTTCCGTTCGACTAACCATTCTACTCAGCGCTGTTGTTGCTGATCATCTGAACAGGCACATTATGATCAGCTACAAGCAGGAGTAACTTCGATAGCGTGGTCGCATAGTCATGACTGGTTGATTTCAGGAGGACAAAAGGGTGACATTAAATATTGGCGACCGAATTTCAACAATGTGGAGACGATCGATGATGCGCATCACGATGCCGTGCGAGATTTAGCATGGTCACCGAGCGACACCAAATTTCTGTCCGCGTCCGATGATACGACCCTAAAGATCTTCGACTTCACGTCACGAACTGCCGATACCGTTCTTACAGGTCATAACTGGGACGTCAAATCGTGCGATTGGCACCCCACAAAAGGCCTTCTGGTGTCCGGATCGAAAGACCACCAGGTCAAATTTTGGGATCCTCGCACCGCTAGGTGCTTGACGACCCTCCACAGCCATAAAAATACCGTCACGACTACCCGATTCTCGCGAGTGAACGGCAATCTTCTCGCTACATCGTCGCGTGATCAGACTGCGCGAGTGTTTGATCTACGTATGATGCGGGATATCTGCATTCTCCGGGGTCATGAGAAGCCTATTTCATCTCTTACATGGCATCCTATCCACAGTTCCCTTATTTCTACAGGGAGCGAGGATGGATCATTATACCATTATTTGCTTGATGAACCCAACCTTCCATCAGGACAGGTTCCTACAATTGCACCATATGATAGTCCCGATCCTGCGAATACCCCAGCACAGGTCATCTACCCCGCCCATCGCATCCAATACGCCCACAGTGCGACCATCTGGTCACTCGACTGGCATCCTTTGGGCCATATCTTGGCATCGGGCTCGAAAGACAATTTCACGCGCTTCTGGTCTCGAGCAAGACCAGGGGAGACTAGTTACATGAAAGACAGATTTCATATCGGCGAGGAGGCTGCCGAAGCCCAAGGAACATGGAGTCGTGGGTTTGGAAGGCGACAGATGCGTGAAGAAGAAGAGCAAGAGGCGCAAGACGAGGCTGAAAGCTTGGTTGATCAGAAAAATACTACCGGCCCGTCGCTTCCCGGGATCCAGATTGCTCCCCCCGGTCTTGGCTCTCTGCAGGCAGGATCTGGCTCATTACTACCAGGTATTGGTGCTCCACAACCTGCACCGCAAGCTGGAATGCCTGCATCAATGCCTCCAATGGATCCTGGCCGCCTGGCAGCGCTTCTGTCTCAACAAAACCCCTCTCAGCCACACAACTTCCCTCTGACCACAGGCATTCCTGGATTCCCCATGCCCCCTGCCATGTCAGGCACTCCGCCATTGAATGTTGATCTCGCGGAGCTACAAAAGCAGCTCCTTTCGCAAGGTATTTCTCCTCAAAATTTTGCCTCTTTGGCTGCATCATTAGGTTCCGCTGGTCTCCCCGGTCTGCAAAGCAGCACGCCCGACAACGCATATCGAAGATGAGATACCCCATGCTCGGATGTTTATATTGAGTTTGACGGGGATATGGCGTAAAGGCAAGCGATATTCCAGCTTTCGGATACAGCTAGGCGTCTTCTCAGAGAACTATTTTTTGCAAACGTGATATATCCTGTGGTAGAATATTTTATACCGTTTGTTATGCGAATAGTTGCTTGTTGTCGATGGATGCTTTTTTGCTGGGAATCTGGTTGACGGCAGTTCTGCAGCTCCTCATTGAGATTCGGCGTCTGCTTAACTCAGGGGTCTAATCGACCTGCCAAAGATTGTGTCCAAGTTCATTGAATCGAGCGGTTATAGGCCACCTTGCATGGGAAAACTGGACAATATGAGGACCAGGACGTTGATACCGCCCCATATCATGGGAATCCAAGTGGACATCCTGAAATTACCAGCTTCGTAGACAGCACCGAGTCTCAAAACCAATTAGCCCGGATCTGGGGTTGGAGATCGGTAAAAATGACATTGCTTACATGAGACCAATAATACTCCCAGCTAGAAGAGCTTCCAGTCCGGCAATGGCAGAGAACACCAGCGGGATGGCCAGACAAACCCTCCAATTCCGACCTTGCGTAACCACAGCACACGCAGCAACGGCAAGGTGGCTAGCTCCATAAAATATAAAAGTCCAGTAGAGGGTGAATCGCCAAATGTCTCGTGTATAGTAGAGATAGTAGACCTGCGGAGGATGATGATTCGGGATAGGATCGTATAACGATGGAAAAGATGGTGTCTGGTAGTTGATCGGAACGCGGTTGTTGGCCATGGTGCTCAGTGATGGATACTGGCAAAGTCCTTCTCTGCCATGTAACCCTTACGACTTAGGAAAGTGGCGTGAAACCATCTTCGCGAACCTTGACCTGACGCGATATTTGGAAAGCAATCCAGATAGCTCCAGCGATAAGATAGGGAGAGTAGGAACAGCCGGAGGGTTGTTTGCACTGTTTGCACCCGGTCAACCTAACCTCGGCAGCCGATCTGGGGTCTCCGCGGTAAGCGTGATGTCGGCAGCCAGTCCCGTTGCATTCGTCCATCTTCACATTTCACCCCGTCATACAGCTCGATTTCCTATGAGACGGGTGGCAGCTGTGCCGCTCGCAGTGTGAGTCTAAGATGGCGACAGAACGCTCTCTAGGTGCTCTCTTGCGGTCTCTTCAGTCTACTTCGGAGCTTCGAGATGCTATCAAGTATGGTCATGCCCACCCAAGTTACCCGGCACAAGATGCTTGACTGACATATTGCTTTCAGTCTTCTGCCCACAGCGACCAGCCTTCTAACCCTCCTGGGAAACCCCCTCAATATCACGTTGCTTTCCTCGCAATTGCTCTCCGCTCCTGCGATATGGGAACAGCCTGTTGACCTTCAAGCATGTCGGCGAATCATCAGTGTCTTCAATACAGCCGCCATTGCGATATTACAAAACGATGAGCCGGCGGAACCTAGATTACCATACGTGAAACCCAGGAAAATTGAATGCGAAGATTGGGTGAAAGCGGTCGTGAGCGGAGCAGATGAGAAATCACCTCGTTGGAGACATTTACTCTTATTGGGTGGCATTCTGATCGGATTTGAAGGCCAGAATAGGCAGGGTCTACCGTGGAGCATACGTACGAAACTCGAGTCGGCACTTGTCACGGCTGCGCAACTTGCACTTGAGGAGCTGGATTCCCGAGACGGCATTGATGCGCAGTGTATCACTTTGGTTTTGAATCATACCTTTGAGCTTTTGTCGGATCATGAGAGGAGCAAAATCAGCTATGACCGCTTGCTTCCTGTTTTGATTCAAGCAACGTATTTCTCCCCTGAGGGTCTAGAAGGAGGATATTTTCTCGGAACCATTGATAAGGATATTGTTGAAGTGCCGGGAAAACGTTTTCAGTGGTCATCACAGTCTGTCACTTTCCGTCGGGTGACGGCAATCATCTCGAGTCCT